CACACTGGAGCTTTAAATGTGATACTAGAGTAAATGTGTATTTTCCACGACTGGCAGTGAGTCCTGGGTTCCATTAACTAGAATTTTTAGGCTCAAACAGCTGCAGGGTGATAAAAGCTCACTGTAAACCATGATGCAACTCTCTTGGAAAGGAGCACACACACTCACTGCCATGACATATCATCACAAGATACCTGTAATATGATAGCGTTTTACATAATAGATATTTAATGGTGTATTCTGATGGCAGTCGTTTACAGCTGTCACTGGGAACAAGGGGCCTTCAACATCATGTCTGATGTGCATATGCCTCTAACCCAAACCACGCCTCGTTCTTTCTGCTGTTTAATGACTGTGTTGAGCCTGCCAGGGAGAATGATGAGGGATGAAAATAAACACTCTCATGCATCACAAAAGCATACATAAGTCGAAGATGACACACAGAACCCGGCAATTTGTATAAATGCGAGTTGCTCTCGTCTTCCGCGGGTGTCTTTCAGACCTCGCATGACTGGCAGCGCTGGGAGCTGGGAGCCTCGCTGTGGTCGAGCTGTAGCTTTTCAGCGTTCGTCTCCGCAAATCCCGAAAGACATCGGGCCAATTTCAGTCTTAGCTTTTGACAGCCGGTTCTCAAGCAAGGCGCTAATAAAGACAAGATGGAGAAATCTTCGCACCACCCATCATCCTTGTTTCAACAGTCAATTGCAAACAGACAGGCCAGTGCCGGTAGGAATACGACCCAAGGACTTGAAGCATACAGACACATTACTTATGTCACTATTGTGGACATTACATAGACTTACATTCATTTCCTGGAGACTTATGCCCTAACCACTCGCCTACCCCTAACCCCAGTGGTTCCCAACCTTTTTCCTTATGGGATCCATTTTCTGTCACTTTTCAGTAAACTGTATTATATTGAAAACTGTACAATGAACCCCAAATAGTAAACAGAAGAATGAAGTTTAGCGACCCCCAGGTTGGGAACTACTGCCTTACCCTAACCCTAACTCTGACCTTAACCACTGACCAAAACAAAAGCTTTTTTTCTGAGGACTTTTTTCCCCAGTCAGACAATCTGTCCCCAATTAACTGGTAGCCTAGGTCAGATCCACACACACACACACACACTTGCCCCTTACACTACCAATACCACATTTTCGGCAGCATCGGAGGAATTTCCACCAATTGTACCATTGTATTTACCTCCAGGATCTAACATTTAAATGGCCATTATTGTATAGTTGTATAGCAGTATAGGTTTTATTACAGTATAGTATGCTGCAATAAACCCAATTCAACAGAAGGCTTCTGTCAGCACACTCAAATGGAGATTAAAAAACATTACATTTCAGTTACAGTGGACAATAAAATGAGTTAAATCGGATCAGTTCTGACTGAAGAAGTTTCATCCTTGAACTCCGTGTGGAAAGTGGTCCTTTTGTTAGCTGTTTCCAGAGCTGTATATTAGCTTGAGAGCATGAGGTGTAGTTGAAGGCTACAGAAAGGGCTTGTGAGTGGACCTTGAATAAAAATGAAATATCACTGCACACACCCACATGTTCCATCCAGCACTGGTGCAACAATATGCAGCCACAGGAGCAAAGAAGTCTAAATACAGGCTTCGGTTGTGCTAAATTTAAAAAGCAGCAAAAAAAATTACACAACAGTGTGAGTGAATAAGTAAGCGATCTTCTCCTTTTCCCTCAAACGTTCCAAATATTTGAGCGCATAGCGAGCCAGGGTGTAATTTGGACTGCTCTTTCTGCATTTGGTATAGATATCAATTTTTAACAGCGCAGCTGCCAGCAGAGCTCGTATAAAAAGCACAGAAACTCTCCAGTCACAACTTTACAAAGCATTATTCAAAGCTACCATCATCTTGTGGAAGTGTACAGTAGGTGAAAGTGTTAATATGAGTCAACAGAAAGGCTGGC